ATTATCATTATTTGAGCAGTTTATATAAGGTTACCAATCACTCATCATCTCCCTGTGGGTGATAGGACCTTTAGTCCATTTATCCCATCGCTGCCTTGCAACTTACTTTTTGAGCAGTATAACCTTTAGTCGTCTCCGATCATGGAAAGATGTCGCGGTTTTTCTGCGATAACGAAAAAACTAACCAGCCGTTACATGACGGTACGCCGTAGTGATAACCGGTTGAGATATCTTGGCAAACAAGGCACAGTTCTTCGGGTTGTGATGCTGATGAGGTACTATTGGTCATACTGAAATGTACATATTTTTCGGCATGATTGAAAATATGAAAAAAAACGCGAATGAGAGAGGGGAGACTATAGGCGGAATCAAATTTGATGGTTCTGAAGTACGAAAAAGGAGTTCAGAATACCCAAAAAAGGCTATTAAGTCAAAGAAGATGTCATGGGTAGTTTGTTGTCGGGAAATCGGAATTCGAAAAACGAATGAATGAATTACAACCAAGTTCGTCCCGTTCCGGGCTGCTGTCATATTGTCAGTTTCTCCCATGCGGGGGAATAATTGCTACACTTGTATCATTGATGAGGGAAATGTGGCAGTCTGCACACAGAGCGACCGTCCATACGATTCTACATGGAACGGCCATCGTCTAGGACTCCGCTCTTCACTGAGAAACTTTTAGCGCCTGACACTGGGACCGGTTTTTGGTTTTGCTAATGTACGGAACGAGCCACTCATTTCTAAATCAAATAGGGCATTTCTGAAAAGAGGAAATGTTGAGGGTGAACCGCTAATCCGGAAGTCAGGTGTATATTACGTCAGAACGTGCGCCACGGGAACTTTCCACTCAGCCCTTGCGACGAAACTAGACCCCGTGATCTAGCGCTACACGCCTTGGAGATTACCATTTACGTGCTTCAGCATCGATTTTCTGAAGCGCCTGTTGTAAGTTAGTACTGCTCAAAACCTGTCCTTATATTTCTCTCCTACGAAAACTCAAATGAACCGAGCGCGATAAATCCTGAGGAAATTCGAAAGATGCACTGTGGGCTGGGTACCCCTACCCAAGGAGACAATAGGCGACAGTTCCGTGGAAGGGTACTTTGTCAACGCGCAAAAGGCGCCGGAGAGGAGCTCTCTAGTTCCCAGAACTCTTGCCCGCCTTCCCTTTTCGGATTTGGCAATGGCAATCGGCAGCAATGGCGGCAAACTTGAAATGGTACCGCTATCGTTATCGTCCGATTTTTGTTCTAGAGTCCACCGGAAAACAAGCCAGCCGTATCGTCTTATCTTGTCGTGTCGTGTTGTCCGTGGGGTTATGCTCATCCGGGCGGAATGGTGTAGTGGCAAGTGGCGCGCTTACCACGCGAGCGGTCCGGGGATCAAATCCTGGGCATTCAAACGCCACTGCGAATGTACAAATGGAAGTAGAATGCGTGCCGCATCCCAAAAAGGGATTGATCAACGGCAAATGCTTTATCCTTTTATCCTTTATGCTCATCCAATCATCCCTATATCTGCTCTTCTCCCGACCCTTTCCGTCAATGACGTGTGGAACTCTTACCTACCTCTCATGGTAAGCCAGCGCGACTGCTCCCTTCAAAGACCCGAGTTGCGATCGCAATTTTTGTGATATTTCGCTTGGAAATGGTAAAGGTGGTACGAAGAGGACCGTCAGTTGAGAAGAAAGCAAAAAGAATATTCGAATGCAGTGAATTTATGAGCTTCAATGCTTTGCGAGATGACTGGTATAACGGAGAGAAATATCGCGATGAGGAAAAGGGTACGTGAGACAGCACGTCGTGCGAGAGAGCGCAGACGCTGCGTATGCTGCGACCGAGTAAAAATGGCAGCGATCGCAGCAATCATACGAGGCCTAATGGTAAACGCTATTGTCGCGCGCTTTCGAATCGTGACATTGCCATGCGTACTGCGCTTAGGTACCCTGCTACCTCATTCAGGGAGAAAATTACTCTGAATATGTAATTCCTGGTTGATTCTGGTATGTGAAAAACAGTAATAATGAGCAACAATTCTAAAGAAAACCTATATGTAAAATATTGCTTTGATGTAAAGCACTTTTGGAAGCTGTCGCACAATAGAAACTTCGGAAATGAAAGAACATCAGAAGGAAACAAAGAAACAATACTGAATGCAAGTGGGTGTAAGACAGGAAGAACCAGGAACTTTGAAAGACGTACAATGTTTTGGAAAGAGATTCAGACTGTTCTGGAAAGTTTTTTTGAATGTAGTAGCGGATTTAAAAACGGCAGGCAGTCCCCGAACACAGGAATATAGTTATGATAATTCAATCGTATTAGTCGGTGACAATGTCCAACGTTGGATCGTGTGGTATTATTCAAAAATCGAAGTAAGGACGGTTTTTTGAAAAAATAATGCTCGTGACGACACTTTAACATAAGTGCGAAACGAGATCACTCTAGATACACTTTCCATTTGGTTTGACACCGGTCTTATGGTTAGTTCAACTCTCAGTTGCAAATGGGAATAGTTTTGCCATAGACCTGCTAGCTATTGTTAAAGGTAGATGGCATGACATATTGGCTGCCGTTAGTAAGGAAAGGTAGAGGTGGAAAGTGGTGCAGTGGTGAAGAAAAGTCCGAGGGAAACGCTTTGGCGACAAGTGACCAAGACGGCGACCATTTGGACGACTTCGTCACGACAGACGGCCGTATCATCACCAACCTGCAATCGTACCAGCAGCCACACACACTATTGTGTTTATACGGCACTAAACAGATTATATAACGCAACCGAAGTAATTACGTTCTTTATCGAACACGAAGCCGAAATACATATTAAATAACATTTTTTTTCAGACGCCTTCTGCTTATCACTCAGCCCTGGGCAGCTCTAATTACTAAGCGCGACGCTTATTAATCATAATGGGTACTAAACCTTCTAGCCGCTCATGAGTGCCTGCCGCGAAATCGCCCGCCTCGGTCCATCCAAAGGTGACATTTCACGCTGAAAAGCAATACATTCGAACTGACGTAGGGTTGATCAGTGATGGAAGAAAGAAGGAAAAACCATGAGAAACGGCCCAAAACCCGAGAAATGGTACCCCTTCCTTGCCCTTTGATTCGAGCATTGATGCGACTCTCATCCTGAACCCCTTCAACGGCTAACGCGCTCTCTCTCTGCCATTGTCGTGGCGTAGCGCGTCCAACTGTCGTCAAGAGTACCATGTTAGATACCGACGGTTCAAATCTTTACCGCTAATTAAATGCGCGTCGCTCCGATCTCACGAGGTCCGCCGGTCCCCCATCGGCATTCTCCCCTTCCTGACCTTCGTGTCTTATCGTTTAAATCTGTCAGCTCACCCTCCTTCCAATGGCATCCATCCCTGAATATATGAAGTCTTACATGCCTTGCTGATGGGATAATTATCAGGGCACTTCACAATATTCAAAAAGGAAAATACGACTATCGTAGGATACACGGGTTGCCTAACAATGGCTAAAATTAGTAAATAAACAGTAACGCTGTAATGCTGAATTTCTAAAGAACCTTGTTACTTCCTACTATTTTTTTAACCCATTCGTGACAATGGCAGCAGCGTGAGTCCTGCCAAAGGTCTTACTCGGGACAAATGGTATCATCTGGTGGTCTGGCCGTGTTTCATATGGAATTTGGGAAGTTTTCTTTCCTGAAAAGAATCTTCATACCCTCATTCATCTACGCCAGCCCTTGGGCAGGGAAAATCTCCATCCACTCAATTTTATTATAAGAAATTCTCCTGACTCTCTTGCTACTGCGCAATCCCGCGCGGTCGCGACTGGGTTAAACACCCATAGCTTTCTTCAGAAAGACCACATGCTACTTCACTTATCAGGTGCATGGTTGTAGAAAAAATGCTACATGTGGTCGTCTGATAGTAATGTGAGCGCTCTTGACGTCAGCAGAATGCACATCTCACCTGATTCACCACTCAAACAACTAGTAATTTATCTAATCTACTATGCAGTTATCTGTGTGATGTGTGAGGCTCAGCCTTTTCCAGTGCGGTATTATCAATGAGGAGCACCACGTGGAAGTACAATATTTTCCTAGGCCACCGGAAGGTAGAGCGTTTCAGCTAACCATAAGCTATTGTTCAGTGACCCTAAATTTTCACGATGAAACATCATTTTGTTGTGCTATCAAACTGCGTGAATGTTATGATAAGAATTCTGACATTTATTTATATACCAATGGTAAGAGGAAATGACAGTCTTTTTTTTTACAGGGATGATTTTGTTTTATCGGGTCGTTCCGATGCGAGTATTATCAACAAATACAGAGTATTGAAAACAACTAAACTCCAAAAAATAAATGTTTCAATAAATAAATAATTCTGGTGAATGTTGATAAGCAATGAAAGTATTGAAAGCAATCGAATAAGTGTAATGGCTGATTTCAGCAGTTTAAAGTGGAAATATTTATTTATGGACAAACCCCATTTTCTGAACACTTAACAAAGGGAAGCCTTGCATTGCATTTTCAGATCTATAGTTTGGACCATATCATCACTGAGAAAAATGAATATATTTATTTTATTTGTTCACACCGTGAAGGAATATGACATATGAGCCAAGGGAATTAATCTGAAGAGCTAGGCACCTTAAGGCAGCGATTACGATAGGTTCAAGTAGTGGTGCTCAATAGTACGCGGTGGCGAAAAAGCAGAGAAATCCGTCAAAAACGCAAAACGGGACCCCCTTTTTTGGCCGTTGGTTTTCACTCATGAACAGGTAACAGCTCAGAAAGTGGACGTATGAACGAGTTCACCGCAACGCGTTTGGTGGCACCATGCCAAACCACGCTCCAATCGAGTTGCTCCAGTTGTGCCGCTGCTGGCAACGCAGCTCGTCCAACTAAACTAGTGGGCGGATCGCTTTTGGGGGCGGAGTGCTTTCGAAGTCCTGCTCAGCAACCAGCGCACCTTTCGTCGTGAAAGCGCCACACTTCGCTCCTTGGCAGCCAAGTAACTGCTTCGTGTGGTGCATATGCTTCCCCGATGCGCTCCCTTTATCGTAATCGCTGCCTTTAACTTCTCCAAAGTAATTAAATAGTAATTCGGTACTCGTACATGCATGCAAGGTACTTCTTTTACATGAAGCAGTTA